AGGTGGTTTACCTATCAGATATTTTTTTGATGTTCCAGGGCAAACTGTTAGTCATTTCTAGAGGGCGACATCCCAAATTCCGCATCTAACTATATATAACTATTATGGTTAAAAATTAATCACCATATCCAACTATGATCAACTGTGGTTATAATCAGCATATCCAACTATGGATATAATAAGCATATGTCTCAGAAAGTATGTCTTGCCGTGGGTTGCTACATCAAAGAGTCGAGCCAGCTTTCTTGAAGGGCCACCTCTGACCTTTCGGGGTGCCCGTTGACCAGCGCCTGTGTGCCGGCGCAGGCATGACACAACTTTGGAAAGTAAGCGGTAAAATTTGGACAACCTTTGAAAAGGCAGGTTAATAGATGTGAATAAATGCTCGTACTTATCTTTCGGCACTATTTCATTAATTTACCCAGCTAAACACTGCGTAAGTTTGTAACAGGGTACGTCAAATGTGTAATTTTAGACTTTTTTTTAAAAAAAAATGTTTGTGCCATATGACGTCATATCCATATTAATGGCGACATTACACTGGTTGGTGGTTTGGAACATGGCTTTTATTTTTCCATATATTGGGAATGTCATCATCCCAACTGACGAACTCATGTTTTTCAGAGGGGTAGGTATACCACCAACCAGTTACATAGCACATTTTTAGACGATTACTGTTTGGTGGTTCAAACATTTTTTATTTTCCATCATAATTATATGGGATAATCCTTCCCATTGACTAATATTTTTCAAGATGGTTAAAACCACCAACCAGATTATAATTCATGGCACATCCGCCAGTGACAGGTCAACCTCAGAGGATTTTACTCCAGGCAGTGTTGGAGCCGCAGGCTGGGTCACGGCTGGATCACGTCGGTTGTAGAGTGCGCTGTTCTGTTCCATTTCCTGGGGGCAATGTTATTCAAACATGCCATATATATATATACACATAACCATATAATTACATATATATATATATAGCATTATATATTGCGGAGTGATTGTTGGATATTGTTGTAATTTGTATGATTGGGGCGCCCAAAGACACGATGATATTTTGATGCATTGCATCACAGGGGCCTCTGAATCTGTGGCCCTTCAGCGTTGCCAGGACCATAGGAATGTCACGTGTTACTTCCGGCTTGGTTTCAGTGCTTTTTCTCTCATTTCTTGCTGGGAAAGTTATTGAAATGTAGGCTTTCAGGCTGTTTACATCATATTACATCTGTATATTGGGAATCAGTTGGGTAAATATTTGGTCCCTTTCATCATATACCATTTTGGCTGCGGTGTTTTTGCATTGTTTCCTGTTTTGTTGCCCAAAGAAACCCTCTTGGGGATGGATCAAGACCGTCGAGATCCCAGGTTTTTTTTGTGGACGAACATCGATAAATTCCGCCTACTTCAATGTCAAAATCAGGATGCATTTTTTGCTGGTTCATATCATTACCCTTTTGAGGGAAGACCCCTGAGATTTTGCATGAAAGCTGCAGAGCTTGGTTTTACAAGCGAAAATTGACACTAATGAGCTTCCATGCGCACCATGTGGGGTTGTCTGAGAACGAAGTTCATTAGGGTCCCCAAAATATCATGATTGATCATTATTCACCCCATTGAAGTTGCCTTATTTTCGGGATATTCCTTATTCAGGACAAACCCATACATTTTTTTAGCCTTTGCCAAGCCAATCCAAGGTAATCCTTGCGTGTTCTTTAACTCTGCAATGGGTTCTGTACATGGAAGCGCATGTCCATACTGCGCCTCGTGCTGAGTTTGGCTTAGGTCGGAATCTGCGGTCAATGTTATGTGGAATCGAAGATAACGCTGTCCTGGCATGGCCTTTTTCGGTCCGACAATCAGGACTGTGTCTATAACTATCTATAACTATACTCTATATATATATAATATGATTATATAATATCATGATTTCAAACATTATAGTATACCTTTATAGGTCTACATATTCATTCATTGATTTCTAGATTTACATTGCATTGCATTCTATGACGTGCCTTGCCTCGCGGTACCATGCCATGCCGTACGAGACATCATATGTATATAACATATATTATTGCACACTAAGCCGCAAACGACGTATTCCACCCATAGAATCCCATAGATACATTGGGAACATATACAACAGATACAAACATATTATGTGAATACAACATATAACACACACACACCATATCTAACATATACATGGCCATTCACAGTTTTTTCTTGTTTACATACATATATGCATAAATATGCACACACATACACATACACATACGTGTACATATATATATATATATGTGTACATAATTACATATTACATATTCCACACACACACATATATATATATATATATAGAATTATGCATAAACAGCTACATACACATAGCACACACATTCATTTAGATAATATACATATGAATGATATACATATGCATCGTTTATGGTATACATTCATATTCGATATGCGTGTAAATCTATACCTCTGTGCAAGGTTCAAGGCAGCATAGCTGATTCCTGGAAACAGTAGTTTCGGGATCTTTTCTTGGGACATGGAAATTTTGATCAGAAGCATGTCATGTGCGAACATGTCCAGATAGCTAAAGGCACAAACCCAGAAACCCAGCTTTTACTTATGTCGATTGACATTGGCCTACAAAAAGAAAGTATCGGCCAACTTCGTTTGGCCCATTGGAGTTGCCTTCAAACACCACCCTGGAAACCAATCTTTTTTCTCCGGGCTTCTACAGGTTTTCTGCGGGTTTCCTACGGGTTTGAAAATCCAAGTTTTTTTTGGAAACCCAGAATTTTACGGTTAGGACGGGTTTTCTACGGTTTACAACGAACGGCTTTTCTACGGGTTCTGAATTGCACCATCAAGGAACCATAGTTTCCCATCATGGAAAAGAACATTTGGCATCGGGACCCCTAAATCCCGGAAACAATGTGGATTTCCTTTGTAAGTTTACGTTCAAATTTGAAACGCGTGGGAAGGCGAACAATTAGAGATATTTCCCCCTTAGAGACGTTGAAAGGATGTTTCTCCACACAATCACCATTTTCTAATGGGCTGTGAGTCAGAAGGATTTGAAGGCAAACCATGGAACTACAACAACAACAACCCACTCAATTGCTTTTCCACGCCCATTTTGATATTTGCATCGGAAAGTCGTGCCATCCTTAACTATGTTTCCTGAATTTTGTTGGTAAACAATGTGCCGAAGCTCTCACAGCTTCTGTCTAGGATCGCGCCCGTCCATGGGGCACATGTCCAAAGGCATCCAAAGGCTATATGACCTGATGATTTCTTGTATCGATCATTCCATCAGATGAGGCTTCCATAGTCTTGATCTTTTGAGCCCCCACGTGACGGTTTTCTGATATGAGATGGCGCAATTCCAACAAAGCGGTTTTTCTGGCCCTTCTGGAAAGTGTTTCTTGAAAAACCCAGGGTTTTTGGGGAAAACCCGGGGTATTCATCAAGCAGGTGGGAAAAGCCGAGGTTTCAGTTCATGTCCTACAACTTCGTAGGATCAAGGTTCCCTAGGTTTTTTTGACTTTCATATGTTTGGGATAGGTTGAAACCATCAGGATTTGTAGTACCCAGCAATGAATCTCATGGAAGGCTGTGTGAATAGATGCAATTGGTTTTTAGTAATTTAACAGTTTCCTATGGACAATCATGCTTGATTGGTATATATCATTGAAGTAAATGAGCCATTTTCCATAGCAAATCGTTGAATACTACAAGAGGATATAGTTTGTACGGGGGACACCCAAAATGTTCCAAGTTGAACTTCCTTTAGGTTCTGATTTGAGCATCAATGTTGGGTCATTTTGAGAGCTGCGGGCTGAGGTCATTTGGAGCACCAGAGACAGCCAAGCTCAGGTCCTGTGCTGGATTCATAGGTCAAATTGCTGAATGTGACATGCCCCTTTAGTGAATGGTACGTATCAACCATGGATTTCTTACCTCCAGTTTCCAGAAAGGGGCTCATGTGGGAGTGATGTTTGCTTCCTACACCTTCCAAATATGATTGCTTGCAGTGTCTATGCCTTGTAGATGCCAAACACCTAGGTTCTAGACGAAGAATTACGGTAATAGGAAAGATTGCAAGACAGGCCGGCATAAATTCCTCTTCCCGGTTTTGACAGGAATCACACAGTGAGGCGCGCAGGAACTACAGCAATGACAACAGTACGATGATCATGGGGTGGATTAGGTTCATTCAGACTAGATTCTACAGATAATGTACCCAGAAATGGCTTGTGATAGGAGATGGAGAATCCCGGAATGTTAGTGCTCCTGGATAAGTTCTGCTGCTAAAAACTATGAGCATCTATGAGCTATATTTGGTACGATATGGACGGTTTGGTGTTCGAATTGTTTGAACTGGTATGTCATCTCAAAATTTATCGCTTAAGCATTTGTCAGTTTTCATGGTTCAGCCATTTGAACATTTCACTTCCGTTGGCAGAACATGTCATTCATATGTTTGTGACGTTCCTTTTACATCTCAAAAGGGACCCCTTCAGCCTGTCTAACAAACGTTAGACTCTGCGGCTACTGTTTTCTTTTGGTGCAAGCAGTTGCACCTCCTGCGACGCCATACTGGTGGCTAGAAGCCGTTCGTGAGGATTGGCTGAAAAGGAGTGACAGCAAATCGAGAAGTGCAACAAGTTTCTTTGGGTGCAACGTGCACCACTTGCTGTCGTCTTGTGCTACCAGTGTCGCAGTGACACTGGTAGCGGAGCGCTGCCTGAGATCTTCCGCGAGAGTGGCAACGCGGAGTGGAAGGTCTGCAAGGGCCTTGGGGTGAGCCTCACTGCGTGTGGCAAGCAGAACCTCTTGGACCTGGCTTTGCTGCAATCACTGCTTGAGCCTAGAACTTTGCCTTCTTTGGTTGGCGACGCAATCAGAGCTCGAGGGGTGCAGAATATCCACATAGTGGTGCAATCATTGCTCGTGTGACGGAGTTTGGCCCGATTGTCCTCCTCATCACGATGGGTGACAAAGACAAGGAATTTCGATGTGGCTGGGATGGCGACATCAGTACCTTCCCAGACTATGTGCGCCGGGTGAGGTTGATCTTCGAAAAGACGAGACGGAGGCGCCGCAAACACCTTGGCCCCGATCTCGTGGCCCAATTGACAGGCCGTGCATGGGTCATTACCCAGGAGATCGACCACATCAAGCTGACTCAGCCTGATGGTGCTCGGTACCTCGTGGACTTCTTGGAGGAGAAGCTCGCCCGAGTACCAGTACCTGACGCAGGTGTTCGTGCAGAAGAACTTTTAGTTCGTCTTCGCCGACCACCTGGGATGACGATGGCTACCTGGTGCGCAACTGTCAGGGAGTCCTACAGGAAGTTGCAAAGGGCTCTCAAGAGGGCGAGGCCGGCATCACAAGCGCCGACTAGCCCAGGCCGTGAGAGCTCAATGGTTCCTTCGCCCTCCACTTTGCGAAGGGATGGGCAAACTCTTGGGACCCCGACACCTGGCTCTTCAGCGACTTCACCTTCGAGGCGATCCCGCAGAGCTTCAGCTGGCACAGTGCCAGAACCAGAGCAGATGCCGACTCCAGAACGTCAGGCACAAGCTGCTTCAGCAGAACCTCATGGAGATGGAGCAGAAGATGAAGAAGAAGTTGAAGAGTTTGGAGAAGACCCCATCACCGGGGAAACGTCCTTCCAACGTGGCGTTGCGAAGGGCATGGGAAAAAGGTTTGAATCGCCCTCCAAGTCGCGCTCTGGAAAGCGCAAAGCCGCAGAAGACTCCAGTTCGTCTTCTGATGGTGGCACTGCTTGGCATATGAAGCAGTGGTCTGAGATGGACTCCGGCCTTCCAGAAGTTCTTCCTACAGAACTGCTGGGTTGGTTGATGTTGAGGCGCTGCAACCTCACAGCTCAACAAAGGCTCAACATCTTGAGCACCACCGGCAACTCGCTGAAGGCGGAGGACATCGAGAATGCGCTGAGAGGTGCCGAAGATGAACTACGAGTTCAAGAAGATGCCAAAGGAAAGGGCAAGGGTGGCAGATCCATCAACCGCCCAAACTTTTGGATCGAAGAAGGTGGAGAATGGGGATTGCTAGCTGCAGATGAAGCTGAATTCCTGGAAGGAAGTCTGGATGATGTCCACTGGGTCGGCAAAGACATTGCCACCATCTATGGGGCTACATCGACTTCACCGCCTTCGACGACCTCAAGCCATCCTATGCCTGCTGAGCCCAAATGGACTTCAGTTTCAAATGGGTACTGGTTCCAAGATGAGTGGGGCCAATTCACCTTCTGGTCACAGCATCAAGATGGCGAGTACTACACCATGGACGACGACGGCGTCTACTGGACATGGCCTGAGTTCATGGAGGAGGCTGCATGGTGGAGTGCCTCGCCGGAGCAGCAGAAGGAGATCAATGACGCCTTCGCTGCCTACGACCAGAAGATCCGCTCTTTCATGGAATCCCGTGAGCTGCTGCGCAACAAGGGCGCCAGCAGAGGATACTACAAAGGTGGCAAGCCTTTTGGAAAAGGCAAAGGCAAAGGCTTGGGAAAAGGGAAGTCCAAGCCATCTTCATCGGCTGGACAGACGTTCTTCCAGAACCAGCCGAGTGATGTGCTTGCATCTGTTGGCCAGCCTGGCTACACTGGATGCTTTGTGTGCGGAAGCAAGTCTCATGACTTCCGCTCTTGCCCTCAGCGCGGTGGAAAAGGGAAACCTTCGACCGCCAAGGGTGGAATCTACATGGTGACCGATGTGGAGGAGACAGCAGCTGTGGCTATGCCGTCTTCTTCGACCAGGCCTTCATCGATCGAAGATGCCTGGGCTGCTCATGTGGCGAATCCAGATCTCCGTGGACACGCCGTTTTGGACACTGGCGCAACGGAGACAGTGACTTCGCTGGCTGCATTGGAAGCCATTCACAGGCGAAGGACAGAATTGTTGGGTCACACAGATCATGTTGAAGTTGTTCCGGGTCCGGGGAAAGTTTTTAGGTTTGGTAATGGTCAAACACAACAATCAGAAAGTTTCGTTTATTTGAAGCAGCAGGTAGGAAACCATGAGATCAAGTTGGGCGCGTATACGATAGATGCGTCAGGAGTGCCCCTGCTGCTGGGGATAAGAACCCTTGAGAGGTTAGGTGCGATCTTAGACACCAAGCAAGGTTTCTTGGTGATGAAGACGGTCGACCCGACCCTGGTAGTCCCTTTGAAAAGGTCTCCGACCGGACACCTTCTTTTGGATTTGTGTTCCAATTGGCTCGATGGTGGTGCCAAAATCCTGTTCCAGACCGAGATTTCTCCCATGTCGGTTGAGGAAAAAGCGTTCAATGTCGTGAGCTTTGATGGAGTTTGGAATGATTTTGAGAAGGTGAAAGGTAATGAGGTGGAAAGTTTTCAGCAGTCAAGTTCATCACCTACAGCACCTCACTCGTGCGCGGACATTGACATCGTTGCGCACACCTTCACCTACAACAACCGAGCTGAGTTTGATGATGTTTTTGTGGTTTTTGATGATTCAAGTTTGATGCAAGTTCATGACGAAACAGTGCAATTTCAGAACATGAACATGACCACTTCCAGTACTACATCTCACATGTCACGTTCTTCAAGTTCCAGTGGAGCCAGAACCTCAATGCTCTTACCGCCTCATCATTCAGCGGACCAAGACCAAGCAATGAGCTTGAGGATTCTAGCCCTCCTGGCTTCCACCTCACTTCTTGCTGTTCATGGCGCAGCCGACGGCCAAGATCGCTGCGACACCGAAAGTGGCTGCGAAACCGGCTGCAAAGCCGAAAACCAAGGTGAGCTGGGACACCAAGTACGATGCCTCTCGCACCACGGGACCAGATGTGAGGGACCCCCGCTGCCAAGGAGCTCCGTGCTACGGCAGCCATGTGACGGCCAAACCCGGCCGCGGGTCACCATCGGGCAGCAATGCCCACGGCTCGTGGGAGGCATGCGAGAAGTGCCTACTGAGGCTGTCATACACTCCGGCCTTCGGAGCCCATGCGCTCCATCGCAAAGCAGGACCATTACCTTCGGACACAGCCAACATGGTGTCCAAGGTGGGTCCCAACAATGCTGGCTACAACGACAAGATGAAGGACCGCAGCATTGCCTTGGATGCAGCGGAAGTGTTAGCAGAGAAGAAGCTGGAGATGGTGCGTGCCCAGAAAGCCGCTTGGATGAAACAGCAGAAAGAAGGAAGCCCAATGACCAATTCGACAGGAGCAACGGCGTCGGAAGTTCCTCCATTGACGCCAATTGCCCAGTACTCCGAGGAGATGGGAACAACACCTGGAAGAAAAGCTCGGAGACCAGAGGCGACAGCCGAACAACTGGAGTACGACGGCCGCTCCACACAGTCTTGGAGCGAGGTGGCTGGAACGCCGCCGACATCGACTCCCTGAATGAGCTCAACTATGAGGCAAAGGTTGACCCGAAGTTCCACGTTCAGGACTTTGACAACAAGGCGTTCTTCAAGAAGGACGACATGGATGACTATGACTTCAACATGGATGTTGAAGAAGCGTGGATGACCAACGCAACCTTTGACCAGATGGAGCCCTGTGAGAAGAAGATGTTGAACGAGGCCCTGCACTGCCACTATGAAGATTTGGAGGAGTGCTTTGTCAACTTGATAGCTCATAGCGATCAACATCGTCAACTTGACCTTATGGAGCTTTGCTGTGAAAAGGACAGCCTGCTGTCCACCTACATGGAGAAAGGTGGAGGCACAGCTTTCAGAGCTGGTCTTTTTGGAACGCAGCTGGCCATTGCAGCTGTGAGACGCTTGAAGCCGAAGCTTCTTTGGGCCAGTTTTCCATGTGGGCCGACCTCTCCGATACAGGCTTTGAATGAGCTGACGGAAGAGGGGAAACGCAAAAGCCGTGAACGAGTTCGCCGCTCACGGAAGCTTGTGAGAAATGGGATCAGAGTTTTGGAAGCTCAGGTTCTTGAAGGAGGACAAATCGTCCAAGAATGGCCCAGGTTCAACAAAGCTTGGAAGTTTCCCGAGATCTTAGAGTTTTGGCAAGCTCTTGGAGTTCGTGAACCTTGGGAAGACGTTTTGTTGGATGGTTGCTGCTATGGTCTTCAAGTGCCTGAAGGTTTTCTCAAAAAGCCTTGGTGCCTACGTTGCTCAAAGGTGGGTGTCTTCACCTCGATGGCAAGACAATGCCCTGGAGGACATCAACATGTACCTACAATGGGTGGCAATCGCACCAAGCACTCTGCCCTCTATACTCCACGGCTATGCCAAACAGTATGCCATGCTTATCTTCAAGATCAAAGAGCTGGCGCTGCATTTGGAGCTTTGGAGATGGAAGTGGACCGTGAAGGTCTCAAACAAATGACAGATCAAGAGCTGCAGCACTTGAGTCAGAGTGTTCTCAAATTACACCGACTCCTGTGGCCATCCTGGCAATCGGGCTTTGATGAAAACCTTGGCTGCTCGAGGTGCTGATGGCCGAACTTTGGCCGTTGCGGAAAAGCTCAACTGCATGGAATGTTTGGAAGGTCAAATGACCAAGCCTTCCACCAAAGTGGCATTGGAGAAAGAAGAAGTGATTTGGAGGACTTTGCAAATGGACACCTTCTACTTCAAGTACGGCGACCAAGTCCACCACTTCCTCCTTATGCTGGATGAAGCCTCAGGTTTTTCGGTGGTGAAACAGTTCTCAGTTCACAGTGACGAGGACCACCAGAACATCACCACTGCCGAGACCCTGGAGATCCTTCAACAGTGCTGGTTTCAGTACTTTGGCATGCCTCACAGGATCAGATGCGATCTTGAAGGCGCTTTCAGAGGTGATCTTTTAGAGATCTTTTGCAAGGAACGCGGAATAGAACTCACACTATGTCCTGCAGAACATCATGAATCAATTGGAGAAGTTGAACGTAGTGTGGGTGAGCTGAAGAAGAAGATGACCGCTTACTTGCGGAATGAGGCCGACTCGTCTCCCTCTGAAGCCGCTGCTGAAATGTGTGGTGCTCACAATCGCATTGCACGGATTGGAGGCTATGCTCCCAACCAATGGGCTTTTGGCCGTGATGTGGATGAAAGAGATAACTTGGCTCTTGCAAGTGCTCAGAGCGATCCCTCATCTGAGATGCATCGCAGTCTTCAACGACGACTACGAGCTGAAGGTCGCTATCGTGAACTTCAAGCACAAGCCAAGATTTCTCGAGCCCTCAATGCAAAGGTCCAGAAATCCACACAGTTCATCCCTGGTGACCTGGTCTACTACAAAAGGTTCAAGACCCCAGCAGATACCCCTGCTCATGCCTTGCTTGACACGCCTTCTATGAAAGTGTCAAGGTGGTTTGGACCTGGACGTGTTTTGGCGTCCGAGACCAGAGTTTTGGATGAAGGAGCGACACGTGCTCCATCAAATGTGGTTTGGATTATTTCTCAAGGGCGTCTCAAGAAGACCCACTCAAGCCAATTGCGCCATGCCAGTGAGCGTGAAAAGCTTATCGCTGAAGCCACAGAGGCACCAACATTGCCCTGGACATTTACTTCCCTGGGACGAACCTTGCAGAAAGGTGAATATGAGGACTTGACCAAAGAGCCGCCTCGACGAGGACGACCTCCTGGCTCTCTCAACAAACCAAAGGTCACAATCTTCAAGCCCAAGCGAGATGCAACCTCTTCTGCTTCAGCTTCCAGACCTGCAGATTCACCTGAACCCACTCAGCCTGACATGGTGGACTCTGATGAAGAGTTGATCCCCGCTGATGATGAACTACCTCCTGAAGATCAACGAGATTCAGAACAAGATCAACCTTCTGCAGAAGTTCCAGGTGAAGAAAGGCCAGAAGACCTTGATGTGGATCGTCTTTTGGAAGATCCTCGCTACATGCCTATGAGAACAATTGCAGATGAAGAGCTGAAGAGAAGGAGGACTGAGTTTGCAAACCTCCGGAGATCTCATGAGATGGCTGACCGCCCTTTTCATGTGATGAAACAACTTGGAGATCCCGCTGCTGGACCACCTGCTTCCAATTTTTGGGTAATGGACGACTCCGAGAATGACATCTTTGGTGTCATCATCGACATGCCCAAGGATGAGACGGAGTGGAAAAAGGTCCTGAAGAACCCTGCCAAATTTGCAGCAAAGTCAGTATCGAAAGGTGCTGAAGTTGCCTGGCACAAACTCAATGCTACGCAACGTGCTGCGATGGCTGAGGCAAAGCAGTTGGAAGTTTCCCAATGGGTGCAGCAGAAAGTTTGCGAGCGTTTCAAAGGGGTTATTCCACCGAGTCGTTTGATGAGAACTCGATGGGTTTTGGTTTTCAAGTCGGTTGATGATGATGAGACAAAGGTGAAGTGCAAAGCACGAATTGTGCTGCTGGGTTTCACTGACCCTGACCTTGGCAACCTGGAGACCGCCGCCCCAACCTTGAGCCGGCGATCCCGCCAACTGTGCCTTTCCCTGTCGACTGTGAGACGCTGGAAGACCTACAAAGCTGATGCCAAATCTGCGTTTCTACAAGGTCGTCAGACCCAAAAGCACAGGGACATCTTCATCACTCCAGTGGCCGAATTGGCCCAATCAATGGGCATTCCTCCCGGTGAAGGAGCTCGCATGTTGAAGGCCGCATATGGTTTGGTCTCTGCCCCTCGTGAATGGTTTGGCGAGGTGGATGAAGTGGCCGCCAATAAATGTGCCATGAAGAGGCTCAAGACAGACCCTTGCATCTGGATCAAACAGGATGCCCGGTCTGGAAGGACCATTGGCTACTTTGCCAGCCACGTTGATGACTTCTTGGTGGCCGGCGAGTGGGAGAATCCAGAATGGATCAAGACTGTGGAGCTCTTCAAGCAGGCCTTTGTGTGGAGCCCCTGGGAAGAGCAATCTTTTGCTCATTGTGGTGTTGCTCTGGAGCAAAACGCAGATTACAGTTTCACGTTTAACCACAGCAACTACGTGGAGCAGATCAACCAGATCACCATCAATGACAAGGTGGACCACATTTCCCCAGAGGAGATGACCCAAGCTCGCGCCGTGTTGGGCGCCATACAATGGAGAGCAATTCAAACTGGGCCCCAGCACTCGGCAAAACTTTCTTGGTTGCAGTCCGCATTGCCCCGAGGCTCTAAGGACATTTTGCACCAGATCAACAAGCTCTGCCGAGAATGCCACGCTCAACGTTTTCAGTCCATTGCCATCAAGAACCTTGGAATCCAAAGAGACGAAGACATAGCATTTGCATGTTGGACAGACGCAGCCGTTGGCAATAGGCCTGATATGTCTTCAACTGGAGGCTACATGGTTGCAATGGTGCATTCTGCCTTCCTCAATGGGCAGAAAGGTGTGGCAAACCCTATTTCATGGAAGAGTGGAAAACTTGGCCGGGTGGCGAAGTCTTCGTTGTCGGCCGAAATACAGGCCCTAGGTGATGGCGAGCAGGAGCTCATGTACATCAGTGCTGAATGGGCTGAGCTGACTGGCTATGAGCTCAACCTTCGACAGCCTGAGTTGGCAACTTCAAAAATCCCAGGCGCTGTGATCATCGATGCGAAGTCCGTCTATGACGCCTTCTACAAGGGCGAGGGAGCTTCATCAGCTTTTTCTATGAAAGAAAAATATGCAGCGCTGGATTTAATGGCCATCACAGAGAACCTCAGAAAACAGAACACACCACTTCTCTGGGTAGCATCGGATGCTCAATTGGCTGACGGCCTTACCAAAGCAGTCGCTGCGGAAGCCCTACTTCATTTCCTTCAACGAGGCCAATTGTGGGTGGTGAAGTATGACCCGGAGTTCATTGCAGCAAAGCGTAAGAAGGCCAAAGGGCTTTCTGAGAAGATTTTAGATGATTTTGCTGAACCACCGTCTGACTTGACGTGGCAACAGCTCATCCAACGACATGATTCTACCAACTACAGCGAAAACCTTTGGGGCATGTCAGTTTTCATGGTTCAGCCATTTGAACATTTCACTTCCGTTGGCAGAACATGTCATTCATATGTTTGTGACGTTCCTTTTACATCTCAAAAGGGACCCCTTCAGCCTGTCTAACAAACGTTAGACTCTGCGGCTACTGTTTTCTTTTGGTGCAAGCAGTTGCACCTCCTGCGACGCCATACTGGTGGCAAGAAGCCGTTCGTGAGGATTGGCTGAAAAGGAGTGACAGCAAATCGAGAAGTGCAACAAGTTTCTTTGGGTGCAACGTGCACCACTTGCTGTTGTCTTGTGCTACCAGTGTCGCAGTGACAGCATTTGCCGTTGCAAGTTTCAACAGTTCACAGAAAGTGAAGTTGCGGTTTTGCATAAATTTAGATGAGTGTTGATGATGGTAGGGTTATTGCAACTGAAGAGGAATAATACCTTGTCCTGTGTGTCATCCAATATCTTGCAGAGTCCTGTCCTTGGAACCATCTGTAAATACAAGCAACGATACGGAACAGTAACAGTGAAGGTCACCATCGGCCTCGAAAAATTACGCGAGATCGGATCAAGGAAAGAAACTCGGCCGCACGTGGACAGAATGCAGTAGATGCTGCATTCGACGTTTACTCTTAGCATCTTGTAGTACATGTTTAATAGTGTTTAATCCATATTTGTTGATCTGAACTTTGAACTTTGAACATGTGTTCATTTAGTCTTGCCCAGCAGAATGGGTAACTTTCATCGTGGCGAAGCAAGAAAACTTGAAAAAGCCGGTCGTCGATGACTATCCTACTATCCAGGGAAATCCTCCAACTAGGCCAACAGCTCTCATCAACCAACAACTTGGAGTATCTATGCTCATCGGTTTTAAGGTCTGTAAGTTTTCTATAAATTACTTCTTCATTTTCCATCTTATCTAGGATGAGCAGTCCTATATTCACGTGCATTGCGTTGTTCATTGTCGGCGACGTCACCAGAAAGATGATAGTGACGACCTAGGACCGTTCGGTGGATTTCATTGTCGGGAGCTTACCAAATTGTATCAAATATATGATAATGTATCATTATAGTAAGATATAGTAAGTATAGTAGCTATTTCGCCCAATTTGTTTGGATAGATTGGGGGAATTCACGCTGGTAATTTATAAACAATCTAAATAACTTCAATGCCCAATGATGCATTGCCCTAGGCCTTTGAATGTGAACCCCACTTGTGGATCTTCGAGGATCTTTGAGATCATCCCCCAACATTGTTTCCAACGATCACTCAAAGGCATATTTGAGAATTTACAATAATATATGAATATATTGAAAGATGCGTGGATATAATATAACTCTAACAAAGAATAATGTAAGATGATATCAAAGAAGATAGCTTGCTTCAAACTATTACAAAAGCATAACATGTAATGCAATATATGACAACAAAAATAGTTTTTAATTATTATAATATTGTTTAACAACATGTACCTTTGTATTGCAAGCCACATAATGTTATTTTATTTTTATTTTTGACATTATGCGTTTCTGTGATATATTGGTTCGCATTACTATATTACAGTTTCTTGAAGTATGTTCTATTTACTATATTGACTTATTTTATTTGATATTATTTGACAAGATGTTGTATGATAAGCCATTTGCTTTTAATTCAGTACATCACATGTTTTTATGTTTGCAAAATAACCTTCAGCTATGTTATTTGTTTTTGGTCATATATTGAATTACATATATTATGTTGTGTGATATCAATGTTTATTGTATTATATTTCTGTCTTGTGATTGCAAGTGTAATTGTATGTGCATTGTACAATTTTATGCTGTAAGTTATCGTAAACTGTATATTGTATTGTTTTGCTTTATGTTTAAGAATATGCTATTTTGACATTGCATTATAGTGTCAAAGGAAAATTCATGGAGGAAACTCCGGGTTACGGACTTTCACATTCTCACTAGCCCAAAGATCATTGTGTCCAGTTGGCATGTGCCTTAAGAGATCATAAAGTCACATTCTCACTAGCCCAAAGATCATTGTGTCCAGTTGGCATATGCCTTAAGAGATCATGAAGTCACATTCTCACTAGCCCAAAGATCATTGTGTCCAGTTGGCATGTGCCTCAAGAGATCATAAAGTCACATTCTCATACGCACAGAGAGCATTGTGTCCAGTTGGCATGGGCCCCAAGAGATCAAGAAGTTACATTCCCATTAGCACAGGGAGCATTGTGTCCAGTTGGCATGTGCCCCAAGAGATCAAGAAGTTACATTCTCACTAGCCCCAAGATCATTGTGTCCAGTTGGCATGTGCCTCAAGAGATCAAGAAGTTACATTCTCATTAGCACAGAGAGCATTGTCTCCAGTTGGCATGTGCCCCAAGAGATCAAGAAGTTACATTCTCACTAGCCCAAAGATCATTGTGTCCAGTTGGCATGTGCCTCAAGAGATCAAGAAGTTACATTCTCATTAGCACAGGGAGCATTGTGTCCAGTTGGCATGGGCCCCAAGAGATCAAGAAGTTACATTCTCATTACCCCAAATATCATTGTGTCCAGTCTGCACCTGCGTAGAGGTGGAGTAGAGGTAGACTACGGAAGATGGTAGAGTAGAGAATAGAGGAGAGTAGAGTAGAGTAGAGGAGATTATAGAGTAGAGCAGAGCTGAGTAGAAGCGGAGCAGGCGTACAGGTAGAGGTAGCGGTAGAGTAGAAGTTGGGTATAGGTTGAATAGAGTAGAGTTGAGAAAAGTAGAGTACGGAAGAGACGAGTAGAGCAGAGAAGTTACAATTCTGATTGTGTTTTGCAAGTCATTCTGGGCAGATCACATGGCAACTGCATCGTGGATGCCATTTGAATGTTGGGATTTGCACGAAACATTACTTTTTTTTTCGGGTAACCGGAGGTTCCGTTGCGGAGGAAAGTTGGCTCGCGCGCGCGACGGTTCCGGGCGTCGCCGCTTTGCTATAGAATCTTGCTTGATTTGCGCACGCAGTGGATCTGAGGGTTGCAGGTGACTTTTTCTCTTGTTTGTTGATGCTGGAGACACTTTGTGCATTGGAACTGGTGCATCGAAGCGATGTGTTCCACAGTAGTGTGTTGCAATTCTTTTGTGTTGCGCTAAATTAGTATGTGCAGATCGCAGTGAAATGGCTGCGCCAAGGCTTGTCGAAGGGTACTTGTTCTCCAGTCCTGTGTTGCTATTCTGATTGTCTTTAGCAAGTCATTCTTGGCAGATCGCATTGGAACTGCTACATCATGGATGCAAATTGAATGTTACTCGTAGGATTTGCACGAAACATGGTTTTTTTTTCGGGAAAACGGAGGTTCCGTTGCGGAGAAAAGTTGGCTCGCGCGCGCGCGACGGTTCCGGGCGTCGCCGCTTTGCCGTGGAATCTTGCTTGATTTGCGCACGCAGTGGATCTGAGGGTTGCAGGTGACTTTTTCTCTTTTTTGTTGATGCTGTGCTATTGTGTTTTGCATGTCTTGAGACACTTTGTGCATTGGAACTGGTGCATCGAAGCGATGTGTTCTACAGTAGTGTGTTGCAATTCTTTTGTGTTGTGCTAATTCAGTCTGTGCAGATCGCAGTGGAACGGCTGCGCCAAGGCTTGTCGAAGGGTACTTGTTCTCCAATCCTGTCTTGCGATTCTGATTGTCTTTTGCAAGTCATTCTTGGCAGATCACATGGCAACTGCTACATCATGGATGCGATTTGAATGTTGGGATTTGCACGAAACATTGTTTTTGTTGGGGAAAACGGAGGTTCCGTTGCGGAGAAAAGTTGTCTCGCGCGCGCGACGGTTCCGGCATCGCCGCTTTGCAATGGAATCTTGCTTGATTTGCGCGCGCAGTGGAATTGAGGGTTGCGGGTGACTTTTTCTCTTCTTTGTTGATGCTGTGCTATTGTGTTTTGCATGTGGCATGTGTTGAAACACTTTGTGCATTGAAACTGGTGCATCAAAGCGATGTATTGTAAAGTAGTGTGATGCAATTCTTTTGTGTTGTGCAATTCAGTCTGCGCAGATCACAAGCGGAATGGCTGCGTCAAGGTTCCTCGCTGTTGCGGCTGCGTGCGCAATACTTTTCGGTTTTGCAGCTGAGAATCGTAATTCGCATTGTAATGTGGCAGCGTGAAAGTTGCGAATTGTGCTTTGGCATCAGTTTTTTTCCATGTTGGTGCTGGTGATTTTCCTTTTAACATTTAAAGAGTGCTTCAAACTCGTCGTTCCTCCGCTTGGGCGTCGAGATCCTGTTTTGGAGCTGCAATTTGTGTAGCCGATGTGCGTATGATTCTATTGCGCTTTGCATCTCGGTCTCTGCAGATCACAGTGGAATGGCTGCGTCAAGGTTCCTCGCTGCTGCGGCTGCGTGCGAAATACTTTTTTGTTTTGCAGCTGAGAATCGTAAATCGTCGTAAATCGCATTGTCATGGCAGCATGATAAGTTGCGAATGGTGCTTTGGCAACATTTTTCTTCATTTTGGTGATGATTTTCCTTTGCAAATTCTTTTTAAAAAGTGATTCAAACTTGCGAGGCGGGGCTGCAAGTTTGCATGCAAGCTTGCGCGACGAGGTTGAAAGTTTGGATGCAAACTTGCGCGGGGAGGTTGAAAGTTTGCGCGCAAACTTGCGAGGCGGGGTTGAAAGTCTGCGCGAAAACTCGCGAGGCGGGGCTGGAAGTTTGCAAGCAAATTTGCGCCCTTGGACACGCATGCAAGCATTTGCAGGCAAATGGTGGTGCAAGTTTACACTCGAATTTGCGTGGGGGGTTGAAAGTTTGCCTGCAAACTTGCGAGGGGAGGTTGAAAGTGTGCATGCAAACTGGCGAGGCGGGGTTGAAAGTTTGCGTGCAAACTTTCGTTGAAAGTTAAGTAAAAAATTATAGTTAAGGCAAGAAAAATTGACTAGTTTAGGTAAGGACAAAAAAAACTAATAGTTATTTTTGTCTAAGATAAGGAATTAATTACCTTTTCGGAATTTTTCGGCAGGAAATTGCCAAACCTGATCTATTGGGTGTGGTGTTGATGATTTTCTTTGCAAATTCTTTATAAAGAGTCTAAAGTGTGCTTCAAACTCGTCGTTCCTCCGCTTGGGCGTCGAGATCCGGTTTTGGAGCTGCAATTTGTGTAGCCG